TGATTTAGGGGAGATTTAGTTCACCTACATCCAGAGAGCACTGTGAACCCAAACAACAATGGATCTGGACCAAATTTGGCACAAATAACTGATACGCCTGTATCTGAATATTTGTCGGGTTTGGGGTGGGGGGGAATTTTGATTTTGCCATTTGGTAGTTGTAGTTGCTGGAATTTATAGTTAACCTACAAGCAAAGAAAACTTTAAACCCAGCCCACAATGGATCTGTACCAAACCTGGCACACTACCTACATAGCCAACATTGAATACTGTGGGGTTGGGGGTGGGCTGTTTTTGAATTCTGGGCGTTGTAATTCACCAGCACTCAGAGAGCACTTTGTATCAAACTAGTAATGAAACCAGTAAACTTGCCTCATATACTCAACATGCCATACTTTGAATACTGGTGGGGTTTCAAGGGGACTGACCTCAGAGGTTAGGAGTTATAGTTCACTCACACTGACAGAGCAATGTGCATGCAACTGATGAATCTGGACCAAAATTGGCACAAACACCCAATATGACCAACTTTGAATACTGGTGGGGTTTGGGGAGGGCTGACCTAAAATGATGGTAATTGTAGTTCTCCCTGCATCCAGGGAACCCTGTGACCCCCACCAAAGGAGCTGAACTAAACTGGGCACACAGACCCAACATGGCCAACTGTGAATACAGGCAGGGTTTGGGGATGATTGACCTTGGCATATGGGAGTTGTAGTAAGTAGCGTTACAAATTACCAAAGCTGCTTCTCCTGCTGCTCCTCCTACTGATGCTGCTGGGTTGTCCCACATCATGTGGGCGCTTTCCACCTGTCTTGAAGGGACTCGTTAGTGCGAGCCTTCCTCCAGCCTCGCACACTCTCCCTCACACATGCACACCACACTGCCATGCAGGGTGCATGCCTGGTCTTCCTTCCCCACTTGGGAGTCTCAGAAAAAGTCATCCCCCTTGCCGAGAGGACAGCCAATCACAGCAGGAGGAGGCTTTTGGTGGGAGGATTTGAAGTCTGTTTCCAAAAAGGAAGAGGACAGGTGGAGAGCCTAGGGGTCCTAAGACAATCAGAAAAATAAGAGTTTTCTGATAGTCTTTGGCGACCCCTCTGAAACCCCCTTCCCAACCCCCTCAGGGGTTCTGACTCCCATGTTGAGAAACGCTGAGCTAAGGGGATTCCATGGCAGGTCAGGACCCACAGATTAATTGGCTGCAATCTAGAGAACTATAGCTGTCCCTCATTGAAAGGCAAAGTCCTGTGATCCAAACAAGTATGAGGCAGGAAGCGAAGGCCACTTAAGGATGGCAGATCCATAACCTTTAGCATTTCACATTCAGTGATTTTCCCAGGGATTTCTGACATTTAGTCAACAGCATTTGGTATTCCTTAGCAGTCTCCCACTCAAGTACCAACCTAGGCTGATCCTCCTTGGCTTCCAAGATCAGATGGATGATACCTTTAAAGCAGGCATGGACAAACTTTGGCCCTCCGGGTGTTTTGGACTTCAACTCCCACAATTCCTAACATCCTCAGGCTGAGAGGGGGATGGAAGGGGCCTGAGGCTGTTAAGAATTGTGAGAGTTGAAGTCCAAAACACCTGGAGGGCCAAAGTTTGTCCATGCCTGTTTTAGAGTATTTAGGCCTCAAGAGTAGTCCTCCAAATATTTATTGGGAATTTGATAAACAAGAAGGGACATTTTTCCAAATACAATAAAGCTAAAAGATACTGAGTGAAAATACATATCTAGTTTCAGAGAATACTCAAGATTAATTTACAGTTAAAACCTGAAATGGTTTTTTTTGGGGGGAGGGGCTCATAGATGACATTTCAGTAAGATTTCTGAGAGGGTTCTAATATATCATTACAACAT